GATCCTGCAGTGCTTCCCGAATTCCTCGGTCATCGAAGAGGACGGGCAGGGGCTCTTGAAGGCAGGAGCCGTCACGGGGACGGCGGTCCTGGAGGTGACCTCTCTGGAGCTCTTTGGCGTCAACCAGACGGTCATCACCGGTGTGAGGGTAAGGGTGTCTACAGAAGAGGCCTGCCTCGTCAAAACAGGGTGAGGGGAGGACATCTGCAACCATGGATGGGATGGGATGGAATAGAAATAATAGAAATAATAGAAATAGAATAGAATAGAATAGAATAACAGAGTTGGAAGGGACCTTGGAGGTCATCTAGTCCAACCCCCTGCTCAGGCAGGGAACCCTATATACCATTTCAGACAAATGGCTGTCCAGTCTCTTCTTAAAAACCTCCAGTGTTGGAGCATTCACCGCTTCTGGAGGCAGGTGGTTCCACTGGTTAATTGTTCTAACTGTCAGGAAGTTTCTCCTTAGTTCTTGATTGGATTCTCTCCTTGATTAGTTTCCATCCGTTGCTTCTTGTCCTGCCTCAGGCGCTTTGGAGAATATCTTGACCCCCTCCTCTTCTTGGTTGGAAAGGAAGTTGAGACCCCCCCTCCATTTTCTTCCCAGGTGGCTCCAGTCTCTTACCTGCAGCTGAGCAGCACCCCAAAGCTCTACACAGCCAGCCGGGCGCCTCTGCCAGCCTTCCCCTTGGGCATGGCTCTGACTCTCACCGTCCGCTTCTTCGACAGCGCCGGGGTAAAGTTTCACGCACAGAACACCCAGCTGCACCTGGCCTTGAACAGGTGGGCCCTCCTCAATCCTCCCCCCCGGGAGAGGCGGGTTCAAGGAGACGCTTTGAGTAGCCTTGTGCTCAATGTAACCAGTTTCAGAGATGTCTCACTTAGCCACGTGAATTTCGGGGCTCCCTGGTGGCCGTACGCCGAGGACCTCCTGTAGTTGATTTCCCTTCCCTCGGCTTCATTTTTAGGGACGACCTGCTGCTGATCCGGCCCAGCAACCAGAACCACACGTTCTCCGCCCAAGCCGTGAACCGAGGCGTGACGCTGGTGGGCGTGTGGGACGAGAGGCACCCAGGCATGGCGGATTACGTTGCCATCCCCGTGGACCACGCCATTGAGCCCGGCCTCTTTGCCCCCCTCGCCGTGGGAGACGTGGTGTGCTTCAGCACCCCCCTTGTGAGCCAGGAAGGTCAGTGGGCCACTTATGAGCCCAGTCTGACAGTGGGGCTTTAAAGCATGTCCCTTTTCTGTTTTTTTAATGATGGAAGCGAAGGTCATCCGAGTGAGGCCAGCCCTCCTGTTTCTCTTTAGAAAAGGATTGGAAAACATGTAATCCAGGAAGCGCTTTTGCATTAAAAACTTTTAAAAAGTCTGGAATTCCACTTTCAGATTCCTTCTGCCCACCAAGAAAGACAGACTTTCTCCTGTTTTTAGGCGAAGCCGGCACCTGGCAGATCAGCCCCAGCGACGTGCTTGAGCTGGACGCAGCGAGCGGAGCGGCGTTTGCGAGGCATCCGGGGAAAGCCACCGTCTTTCACGAAATCCCCAGGATAGTGAAAACGTACCGAGAGGTAGAAGGGTGGTGTTTGTGCGTTTGCCGCATGTATGGATAAACCCCTTATTTTAATATCACGTAATTTTATTTCTGCTTGGAAACAGCTTCTGGAAGACAGGTTTGTATATTTATTTTTTAAAGTGTCTTCTAATCTGTCCTTCCCAGGTCGTCGTTCATGGCCCGTCGAGACTCAGCCTTCAGCTCGGTCCCAAAACCTTCCTCACCAACGCTGGCAACGCCTCCGAATTTCGGGTTTTCGTCTCCACAAGTGGCCCAACCACTCTTCAAGGTAGAAGACCTCCAAGGTCCCTTCCAGCTCTGTTCTGATTGATTGATAGCAGTAATGATGAGTTGGCTATAAATATATATATATATATATATATATATATATATATCCTAAACCCACGCACATCCTGAATACATCTGTGTCTTGTTTTAGGTCCCTGCAGTTCTGAGCAAATTCGGGCCATCAGCAAACAGCTTTCTCCCGAATCCCAGCTCATCTGCCAAGTGGACTTCAAGCCCAGCATCCTGGATATTCCAGCCAGCAAAATCTTTCACATCCGGCCGGCATTTTACGCAGATAAAGGTAAAAAAGAAATTGGTGCATCATTGCTGGGGAATTGGGATGCGTGGCTAACTTCCAAGTGACCAGGAATGGTGGGAGATTTTGAAGATGTGTGTGTGGGGTGGGTGGGGGTGTCTCCATCTTTGCAGAGAATACTTAAATGCGGTCTTGTAAAGCATCAGAAGCATTTCTCTTATAGGGGAACTTTCTTTCCTTTCTTAAGAAGGTCTAATTTTCTTTCTTGAGCTTAGGAAAGTTTCAATTTTGGCCACTTGGCGACCCCAGCTCTCCAGTTTCCACTTCAGAGGCACACTTCTTGATGTCTCCTTCAGAGTGGCTTTCTTTCCGCTCAAACCCGGAATCCAGGCCTTCCTAAATCAGGTTTAAAAGAGTCTCTTCCCTTCTGGCTCCCATCAAGGGCTCTACGCTTGCCTAGTAACGGTGAAAGCCCAGCCTGACGAGGACCTACTGGCCCTCAGCACAACCGAAGGCTTCGTGGACGTGTCTGCTGCCCTCCTCAGCCAGCAAACCCCGGAAGCCCAACGGATCACGGTTCCCTTTCTGCCCGCTTTCTTCCTCAACCAGACCGAAATTGTCTTGGGCAGCTCACAGATGACCAGTGAAATCTTGGTCTTAGGGACCAGGAGAGTGACGGAAGCTATCGAGGTAGGTTGAAAACTGACCCCAAAGACCTTGGATGTGTCCTTCCTGAGGATGGGGTTGGGTCTCAGCGGAAGAGGCCCTGGTTTTCCTCCAGGAGGGTCCCAGATGGATCTGCACCTCCGGGATCCAGATAGACCTGGAGGACAGGAGACAGGCATGAGTTTGTAGGTCCAAAGGTGTGACCAGGTATAGGGAAGGATCCTACTGAGATACAGACATCTTCAAGGAAGCGACGGACTGGGGAGGACAGGAGATACCATCATCTGGACCACGTGGGGGAAGTCAGTGGTCCACCCCTGGAAGCACCAGACCCTTGATAGTTCTCATTCTGGCAATCTTTGACATATGGCTGGGTTATAATTCCTGGCGTCCTGGCTCTTGGCAGCGATAAGAGTTGAAACTTAACATCTGGAGATGTTCCTCTCACCCATCCCTGCTGAAATATAACTCATTGTTGGGTGCCTTGAAGTCCTGCAGATGGATGGACTTCAGCGCCCAGGATTCTCCAGCCAGTTTTGCTGCCTGGGGCATTCTGGGAGTGGAAGTCCACTCATCTTAAAAGCGGGTCAGGTTGAGAAGCCCTGAGCTAAATGGTCACCTTCTGAGGTTCACGAGTGAGGAGATCTGAAGGTTGAGGGCAGGGGTCTTCAAACTTGGCCCTTTGATGACTTGTGGACTTCAACTCCCAGAATTCCTCAGCCAGGCACGCTGGGAGTTGAAGTCCACAAGTCATCAAAGGGCCAAGTTTGAAGACCCCTGGATTAGGGCTTAGCTCCTGCTGGAACCCAGTTTGGGTGGACTTTTCCTCGGAAAGGATGTATTTTCTTTGGCTGGACTTTATCCTCTAAGAGCTGGCTTTCTCCCATCCCCCCAAGGCCCATCCCAGCTCTCCGGGGGTGCAAGTGGATCGCCCCCTCCTTCTCCCGGACATGCCTGGGCTTGTCCTCTTCCCCGTCCACGTGGTCAACCTCACCTCTCTCCACGGGAGGGCAGCACCCGTCTTCGTCAACCTCTCCTGCAGCCTCACCGGGCAGAGGGTGGCCGTCCTGGTGCGGCCTCAACCAGAGCAGCATCTCGGCTTTGGTGAGCTTGAACGGAAAACAGGACCTGGGTTTTGGGGGGGGAGGGTGTCTTCTGCCAGGCTGTGTTCTCAGGCAAGCTGGGTGCCTAGAATACGCCCCCAATTCTCTCTGTCCACTTGCCCAGATCTGTGCGCCGAGGCCAGTCTCGTCCGGCAGCTGGTGGGCTCCTACCAGGTCCTCCTCTTCACCATCTTCGCCGTCCTGGCCTCCACGATGGTCATCTTTCTCAGTAGGTCAATAATGGCATGTACTCCACCACCCCCTGAAGCCGTTTAGTGGGCGCTAGATTCAAAGTCCTCTCCAGTTTGGTAGAATTGCAGAGCTGGAAGGGACCTTGGAGGTCTTCTAGTCCAACCCCCTGCTCAAGCAGGAAACCCTACATAGTATCTACCATATGCCTGGAACCAACCACCATCCTCCTCTCCCCGCAGTTTACAATGCCTTCCTGAACAGAGTTCAGATGGTGCCCGTCGTCTACGTCCCGTCAGCCTCCACACAGGACGGTGAGTTCCCACATCCAGCCTGGGTGAAGAATCCCCCGGGAATATAACCCCCAACTCCCTTTGGAGAACCTCTGAAAGCAAGCAGGGGCGGCGGGATCCCCCGTGCTGAAAATTCACCCTTTTCTGAAACTTTCTCAGAAGTTTTAAACGGTTAGGATTCAGTGCTCGCCAGTTCCATTTTCACAGGAGATGGGAAATACGCTTTTTGGGGGGAGGTCAGTTCTCAAGCCCCCCCTTCCTTCCCTTTCTACCTAGGGTACCTCTATCCTCCGCTAAGTGCTCAGCACCATCCTTCCAGCCTCAGGAACAGGACCCAGGCCTGGCTGTGGAGCGTGCGAAGATGAGTTGTAGAAGGAGGTGGGGAAAGAGTAAAACGCCTGAACTTTTATGTGGCCAGTGTCGTCCTTAAAAGGGGACAGGAAAGCCCCAGGCCCCTCACTGGGCTGAGGAATGTTTACACTCCGTGGTGTGACCTTTGCAGAGAGCTGAACCCCCGTGATCTCCATTTTAAACCAGATTCCCAAAGGGCCAAAAGGAATCCCACATACCTGATAACCTGAGGCAGGTACAGCCAGCAACACTCAACACGCACACACACACAAAAAAAACCACACACCAAAAAACAAAGATTGCCTTTATATCCAAAGTTTATTAAATCAAGTGGGTAAGGCTACAAGGCCAGAGCCACAGGGAGGGGAGGGGGGGCGTTCACCCTATCCCACAGCCATCGGTGGTAGCAAGCCCTCAAAAGTAAGTCTACACGTCCCCCAACTCCATTGCATAATATCCTTCCATCGGTGCTCCAGGGAAGCTCAGGGTCATTGTTCGCATAGTCCCACCCATCATCCTGTGCCGAGTGTCCAGTGTTTAATGTTGCTTTCGCCGGAAAGAGCACCCTGCAGGGAGGAAATGCAGAGTCATTAAGATCAGATGGAAGGTTACATTTAACCAGGGTTTCCCCCCCCCCTAGAAAAACCGTTTTTGATCCACCTCCTATGACCTCATCCATAAACACAGCCTACTGGGTCAGCTTCAGTGGGGGGAAACAGCTGTAAAACATCGGTCTGCATCATTGTGTTGTTAAAAACACAGATTGAAAAAGTCACCCCAAAAACTCCACACACCCCCATCTCGGAGTTTGGCTACAATTCTTCATGTTTCCGCTCTTATTTTGGACACTGGCCAACTCAACCTTTCCACTCACCTTCTGTCAACCTTGCCTTTCCACCAGTGGGCTGGCACAGCACAGTCGAGCAGCCGACACACAACACAACTGTCTGGGCGTGACTGAAAACCGTGGTGATTTTGTAGCAACCTAGAGCGGGAAAGCAAAGCAAATATTTGGTGTTTGCTGTTGCAGCTACAAATCCTCTCCTCTCTTCCATTCTAGCAACCCCTCCTTGCTACACCTTCTTCTTTAAAAACAAAATGAGTCTGAACGACTCCGCGGTCCTACAGCCTCATAGAGACCACCACCAGAATAGCTGGGACAACTGAGGCTTGCCCACCCCTCCAGTTAGCATGTGCATCGTTTCAGGGGTCTTTTCTAAAGGACCCCTGCCCGGTTCCCACGTGCAGCCCAGCAAGCAGGGAGCTGTGTCATCCCCTGCGTTGCAAGCCTCCATGTTGCAAAGCACCCTCTCTGCAGCAGGAACCTGTTGTGTTGACATTTTATGCAGCCCATCACCCTTGAAGGTGGTTTTGCCCAGCCCAGGGGACGCCTACACACACCCCCAGCAGTCCAGCCATGAGATTTGTTGCGGATGCTCCACTGCTAGAGGTTTTTAAGACAAGTCTGGCCAGGCGTTTGTCCGGAATGGAATAAGGTCTCCTGGCCTGAGGGCTGGACTAGAGGACCTCTGAGGTCCCTAGCAACTCTTTTTGTTATTCTGCATTCTGAGCAGGGGCTTGGGCTAGATGACCTCCAGGGCCCCTTCCGATTCTGTTAGGGTGGACCAGAGGATCTCCAGGGCCCCCTTCCAATCATGTCTTTTGAGCAGAGGCTGGACTAGATGACCTCCAGGGGACCTTCCCGCTTTTTGTTGTTCTCTCTTTTGAGCAGGGGGTTCCAGCTAGATGATCTCCGAGGCCCCCCTTGCAACTCTTTTATTTTCTGTCTTTTTTGAGAAGCGGCAGACTCGACTAGATGACTTCCTAGACCCCTTCCAATTCTGTCACACTCTATTCTGAGCAGCAGGGAGAGGGGGGCCGGACTAGATGACCTCCGAGGCCCCCTTGCAACTCTTAATTCTGCATTCTGAGCGGGGGGGGGAGGCTCCGACTAGATGACCTCGGAGCCCCCCCTTGTAAACTCTCGTTTATCCCGAGCGGAGGGAGGGGGAGGGGGTGGGGGTGGGCTGGATGACCTCGCCTCACCCGGGCACTTGACGTCCATGAAGTAGGAGTTGGGGCTCTGCACCAGGCGCTTCTTCTTGTGCTTCCGCTTCTCCTCCTCGGGCGACGGGTGCAGGAGGTCCTTCGCGAGCTGAGGGGGGGGGAGGAGAGGCGAGAGACCGTGAGACCCCCGCCCCAAAAAGAGGCTTCTTTCCCCCCCGCCCCTCCCCCCCCTCCCCCGCCGCCATCTTGAGCCTGGCGTGCAGGCGGCGTGGCGAGCGCATCGGGCCCGGCGGGGAGGTCGGAGAGGCCCGCCAGGCGCCCCCAGAGGGACCCCCCGGGCGCCGGGCAGAGGCGGGCGGGCCCGCGCGGGGAAGGCGGCGCCGGGGAGAGACGCACCGGCATGTTCGCGTGGAGGCAGCTGCGGACCGAAAGGAGGCTGGCCGGAAGGAGAGCGCGCTATATCCGCTGTGGGGTTTCCCGCGCACGGGCGGAAGTCCGCTCAGGGGGAGCGTGGGGGCCGGATGTGTCTGTGGTTGTGGGAGGGAGGGAGGGAGGGAGGCGCCACCTTGGGGAGGTCTGAAAAGAAGGGGCGGGGTAGGAGGAGGGAGCGGGGAGGACGCCACCTTGGGAAGGGCATCCGCTGTCTCCTGCGGCCGCCATTTTGAGACGGAGCCTCCAAGGACAAAGGCTTCCCCTCCCCCCCCTGTCCTCCTCACAGCCCTGCAGGGTAGTCTGGGCTGAGGAAAAAGTTTATTTTTCTAGTGCCATCACACACACACACACACACAGAGTCTCCCTCCCTCCCTCTCCCTCAGCTCTTTCCTTGTCTTGAAGACTAACTAAGGCTCTAGTCCTCCTGGGTCCAAACAGGTTACTGACTAAAAAGCCACGTAACTGCCCTGCTTGGGGTCACCCCGTGATAAACCAAGTTTCTAGTCCTCTAGGACTAGCCTCCTCTCCTTTTTACCCCAGTGACGCTCCTGCCAGGCTGAGTTTGGTGCTCCGGATAGAATTTGAACTCAGGCTGGCATCTCCTGCCTAAATTGGGCTGGAAGAGTATCATTTTTATCAGGCCCAGCCAGTCTGCAGGCAGATCTTTGGACCGTGGGAATGTTAGCCTTGCAAAACTGAGCAAGTCAGCAGTCCTCATGGAGGCGATCCTAAAGATTTGCCGAAGGAAGGAAACGAGAGAGGTTAAGCCATCTCAGGGAGACCAAGCTGACTTTGCTTGGGGGCAGCTGGAGAAAGGGACTCTTTTTGAGACCCATAAAGATATAAAGTAGCCATTTCTATGCCAACAAACCAATTTAATCTGCAAAAATCCAAAATCAACATTTCATTCCCCCCCCCCCCCCGTCTCAAGCAGAAAATCCAAAAGCGGAAACAAAATTAGAAGCGTTCCAAGTAAAACAATAATTATCTAAATAAATAACATTTCAATCAGGATAAGGCAACAGAAACAATTCCATCCTTTTAAAACCCTCTTGTGATTTTTACATTTTAGGTCTTCTTTAACAAAAACAAGGGAAGTTTGCTAGGATGAAAATGGATGCTCGGGCAAGGCTGCCTCTTCCCCCTCTCTCCCCCTGCCGCCGGAGGTAAGGCACTCTGTCCATGCTCGGGGGCCGCTCTTTTTCTCACGCTCTGGAGCTCTCCAACTCCTCCTTTGCTGAGGAATGAATGACTTCCCAGCAGTGGATGATGGATAGTTGCTCCTCCTCCCCATCTGAGTCAGGGGTCAGCCCCTCCCGTCTTGAAGGGGGGCTGCTTCCCTGCCCAGCTGGGGGGGGAAGAGAGGGAGGGGTTTGGGTGTCCTTGTTAGAGGAGGAGGAGGAGGAGGAGGAAGAGGAGGGTGCGAGGAGGAGGAGGGCAGAGGAGAACTTCAGCTCCTCCTTCTCCAAAGTTTCTTCCCGGCGGATTCTCGCCTTTTTTCCCCCCCTTGTTTTTTTTCCCCTTCCAGGGTGGGCCAGGAGCCCCTTCCCTGCAGATCCCCGCCCCAGGGAGGAGAGGGGCCAGGGGCCAAGGCCGGAGCGCCCCCTCCCCAAATATGGCCAAGTCTTACGACCACCTTTTCAAGCTCCTCCTGATCGGAGACAGCGGAGTGGGCAAGACCTGTCTGATCATCCGCTTCTCCGAGGACAGCTTCAGCGGCACCTACATCAGCACCATCGGTGAGGAGGGGGCTTCCGCAGAGCCCCCCAGAGCCCCCCCTTCCCGACCCCTCGCTCCCCCCCAAACCCAAACAGAGCAGGATTGCAAGGAGTAGCCGCTGTCCGCCGTTGGGTGGGATCTTCTCCGCTCAGTTGCATCTCGGGGGTTTCTCACCCCCACATCAGACCCCCTGCATGTCCTGGGCTGGGGATGATGGGGATCAGGAAGCGGAGAAAACAGCTGGAAAGGGGGGGGCAATTTGGGGTTCCCCCCAATCCAATATTTTCAACACTCTCCCCTTTGTAAGGATTGGGGGTGATGACAAGCTGCTGCTTTTGGGGGGGAGATGGGGTCTTTTGGGGTGCAACTCTTCCATCCTCTGGGTTCCTGTTGGGGCAGGAGAGGCTGGGGGTGTTTGAAAAGCTATAGAGCCCCCCAAGAGGTGCAATTAAGAACAAGAGCCAGGGAGGAAACGGTCAAAAGGAATATCCCAATTTTGGTTCCAAGCAGCACCCCCTCTTTTTGGTGGGGGGCAAAAAAAAATAAAGAAATCCACACTCCATGAGGACTAGAATCTTGGCTGACTTTAGCTTGGTGATGGAGCTCTGATTGGGCCCTCCCAAGATCTTAGTTCAATCAATCAGCGGACAGGGAAATGATCCCCCCTATCCCGAAAGGATTGGAGACCCCAAACTCAACCCAGGAGTAGGAAATGATTTGCCGGCGAATGAAACCTGGTGGAAACCGTGAGTAAGAGCCAGTTCTGGTTTTTCTTCCCTGCAGGCATCGATTTCAAAATACGGACGGTGGAAGTGGAGGGGAAAAGGATTAAATTGCAGGTTTGGTGAGTGCCTCCGAGACAGGGCAGATTTTGCGGGGGGGGGGATTGTGGAAAAGAAAGGTGGATTATGGACTAGGGAGTCCGAAGGGGGGGGGTAAACACCTCAGGGAGAAGGGAGGAAAACTGCATTTCCAAGCCAGCCTCTTTGTACCGAGTTAGTAAAATCTGGCAAAACTTTGGTAAAACGGAAGAAGAAAGAAAAGAAGGATTTTTTAATTATTGTTTTGGAAAAGAGCAGCAGCTGCATGGAAACGGGGAGCTGCTTTTAATTGCAGGAGTCTCCAAGCAGAAACGGTTGGGGGGGCGGCACATGGGTTAAGGAGTTAGCTGTGCATGATGGGAGTTAGATCCAACATATCGGCAAGGCTCCAACAGGGGAGGCTGCTGTCACGAGCCATCACCACATTGTGCCTGCAAACATTTTTTGCAAACTAGTCCTCAACTTAACGACCGGACTCGGGACTAGAATTTCCCATCGGTGAGTGAGGCGGCTGTTAAATGGGTGGCGTTTTCTATGGGGGGGGGTAAGCTTCTTCCCTCCTTCCCTCAAACGAACCGTGCAGTCTTTTCTTGAAGCGAATGCGGCTTCTCCCCATTGGGGATGCTGCGACGGTCGTAAGAGTGAGGATCCGTGGCGAGTCGCTTTTTTTAAGGATGAGCGAAATCAAAGTTTTCTTTTTTTAAAGACAATTATTCCTTGCAGGGACACGGCTGGCCAGGAGAGGTTCAAGACCATCACCACTGCTTACTACCGAGGGGCAATGGTAAGGGGGCTGCCACCCCCTGGGAGACCCTCCCCCTTCACAGGGTGGGGGGTTTCCATCCCTGATGGGCAGCAACTGAGACATTTTGGGGGGCCCAGAAAGTAAAAAAAAAAACCAGTTCCAGATGTGCTTTCAGACAGCTAAAAATAAATTTGCATTGCCAAGCTGTGCCATATGCACAATAGTGGATGTTTCCCATATAAAATTTGCTATTCAACTATTATTGTGGGTTAAAAGATTGTTTTTCCCCCCTCCCACGTCCAAAATATTGATGAAATAGGCATCGGATCAGGAGAGGAAGAAGGGATGGGGAGGGAGAAGGAAAAAGAAACAACTGGACTTTAGTGCAGGGGTCTTCCAACTTGGCCCTTGGATGACTTGCGTGCCTGGCTGAGGAATTCTGGGAGTTGAAGTCCACAAGTCATCCAAGGGCCAAGTTGGAAGACCCCTCCTTTAGTGTGTGACACTTCTCAGTTTTGTCCCATCGGGGAGCAGGGTGGGGAGAGGCCCGAAGAATGGGGAAGGGGGTGTCTGAAGGTCCCTCCCCAAGACTGCCCCCCCCAATAAATCCCCAATTCTGCCGTAGGGAATTATTTTGGTTTACGACATCACGGATGAAAAGTCCTTCGAGAACATTCAAAATTGGATGAAGAGCATCAAAGAGGTGGGTACAAAATGGGGCTGGGGATGAGGATTTCAGAAGGGGGCGAGTTTGGGGGGGGAGACTGGCTGCAGCCAGTGGGGAAAAAACCCCCACCCCAGACTTTCAGCCCCATAGAATTCCCCCCACCCCACCCCACCCTTTGTTTTCATCCATCCTTGATTCAGATCCGGGATGACAACAACAACAAAAAAAAGGGCAAAAGAAGGCCAACACCGCCACCTGGTGGCACAAATCAGGAACAACTCCTGAACAGAGGGGAATTGACGTCCCAAAGACCGGGACGTCTGCCCTCTAGTGGCCACAAGGGGACATTTGATTGTTTTTCATGGTTTTTACACTTTTGAACGGTTTGTTTTTAGGGCTTTTGGTTTTTTTTGAAATTATTTTTGTTGTTCGGTTTTTTGGTTCTTTGGCTTCATTTGGCGAGGGTTTTTTTTAACTTCACATCAAAGTGCCATATGTGAGATGAACAGGAATTGAATACATGAGTAAATATTTACTGACTAGGGTGTTGTTTGATTTGGGGGTGGTGGAAGAAATATCTATTTCACCAAAAGAGAGTCAGGGATGACCCATTTTGGGGACCCTGGCTTCATGGTTCTTCCTCCCTCCCTCCCTCCTTCCTTCCTTCCTTCCTTCCTTCCTCTCTCTCCCTCTCTCCACTTTCTTTCAATCCTTCCTCCCCTCCCCTCTAATTTGCCTTCCTTCCTTCCTTCCCATTTCCCAGAATGCCTCGGCCGGCGTGGAGCGTCTCCTGCTGGGCAACAAGTGTGACATGGAGGTGAAGCGAAAAGTCTCCCGGGACCAAGCCGAGAAGGTATTGGGTGCAGGAATTGCGGGGTGGAGTGTCTGGGCATGTGCAGAATGCAACTGGTTGACTTTTAGGATTTCCGATGGCTTTGCCTCTCTTGACTTCACGACTTCCTTCCCGGCAGCTGTGCAGGGAGCACGGGATCAGGTTCTTTGAGACCAGCGCCAAGTCCAGCCTGAACGTGGAGGAGGTGAGGGCTCTGCTTGGCCTGGGGACCCCCCCCCAAATCCACACAGACACACAAGCACACCAACTTGGCTCCCAGACCCCCATGGCCGTGGTCCAGAGATCAGGCAGCCATGGCTGGATAGGTTGGGGAACCTGGTTTCTGCCTTTTGGCTTCTCCAAGTAGTAACTGGCTGAAAACAAAATTATGGACGCCCTGCTCTGCGCTTCTTCTTCTTTTTTTTTTTTAGGCATTCAATACTTTGGCTCGTGACATCCTTCTCAAATCGATCAAGAAATCAGTAAGTGCCACATGGGGAGGAACAGGGGGGGGTGGAAACAGCCTGTAAAATGTGGCCAAACCCTCCTCCTCCTCCTCCTCCCACTCTTTTCTTTCTTTCTTTCTTTCTTTCTTTCTTTCTTTCTTTCTTTCTTTCTTTCTTTCTTTTTCTTTTTTTCTTTCTTTCTTTTTTTTCCTTCCTTCCTTCCTTCCTTGCTTCCTTGCTTCCTTCCTCCTCTCCTCTTCTTCTCCTTCCCCCATCTCCATTTTTCTCCTTCATCATCTTCATCTTCTCTCTTCCTTTTCTTCTCCTCTCCCTTCCTCCTCCTCCCCTCCTCCGCCTTTCCCATCCTGGACCGTCCATGATCCACCAGCTCTTGACTCTCCCTCTCCTCTTCCTCCTCCAGGCACAGCTCCCCAAGAGGCCTCTGGAACTCAAAGCCACCCCGAAAAGCAGCTCAAAGTGCTCCGTGCTGTAACCGGCGGCCAGCCAGTTCGGAAAGGCCCCGTGGCTCCTCCCCTATCCCCGGCCATTTTGGCTTCGGTGGGGCTGTTTCTCCTCTCTCCCCCCACCCCTCCTTCTCCTACCCTTGAGACTCTTGAGTTGTCTTGGGCTGGACCCTGGAAGGACTGGGACACTGTTTCCCTAACTTCTTCTTCATCGTCTTTTTCCATTTGGGGGCTCTGCCTTTTAATTTTTGCACTAGCAGAAAGGGAAGGGGAGTTTGGGGAGGGCGGGGGATCCCTAAACTGAGGGGGAGGTGGGAAAATTGGGGAGGGGGTGATAATAAGTCACCCCCCTTCCCCAAATCCCTGGATTCGCCAGACCCTTTGAGGCAGCGTTTGTCAAAGTTGGCAATTTTAAAATAGGTGGACTTCAACTCCCAGAATTGACCAGCCAGCAAGGCTGGCTAGGGAATTCTGGGAATTGAAGTTCACCCATCTTAAAGTTGCTCCAATTCAAACATACGAAGCCCTGTAGCTCTGCAGTGCCTTTAACAGATGTAGGAAAGAATCAGATGAGGAATCTCTCAGCAGGAGGAGGAAAATCCTTTTTTTTAAAGTATATAAGTATATCTATATATCTATATCTGCCTGCTGGGAGTCTCTGCACTTTGGATGGGTGGGAACCCGGAACGTGACTGGCAGAATCCGGCACCCAGGTTGGGGGACCAAATGCCTTTTATAAATCTGTGAAGACGATTAAATATTTGCAGTTTTTTCCGAACATCGTTGTGTTGAAAAAGTAATTTTCTGGGGTTCAGCAAGAGGAGGGGGGCAAAGGGGAGGGAGGAACAGCCGTGGGGGGGGGCGTGAGGGTGTCAAATGGGAGCCTCTATCCTGAACCCTTGCAGAGAAAGCAAGAGACCGCTCGTGTTCCAATCCACCTTGCAGGATTGTTGTTATGGGGAAATAGGAGAAGGAAGGAGGATTATGTATGTGGGACGCCTTGAGTTACTGACAAAAGTAATAAAGGCAGCAGAAAAAAAATTCAATAAATAAAATATGGGTATTCATCTTTCTGTAGATGAGTGTTTAGTACATGCTGATAGATAGGTAGATTGATGGATGGATAGCTAGAAAGATAGATGATAGATGAGATAGATATAAATAGATGATATAGATAGATATGGATGGATAAGATAGATAGATAGATAGATAGATAGATAGATAGATAGATAGATAGATAGATAGATAGATAGATAGATAGATAGATAGATAGAGATAGATAGATAGAGATAGATAGATAGATAGATAGATAGATAGATAGATAGATAGATAGATAGATAGATAGATGATAGATAGATAGAGATAGATAGATAGATAGATAGATATACAGAGTGCATAGATGATAGAGATAGATGTATAGGGAGATAGATGATAGAAGTATCAGAATAGATGATTGATAGATATTTGGATGGACAGACAGAGGGATACGTAGAGGGACAGACAGAATCAGATAGAAATATAGTGGATGGATGGATGAATGGATAGATAAGTAGATACATAGATGGTGGAAGTATATGTAATATATATATATATAGGAATACATTCTCCATTCTCCTCTGTGTCCCGGCTGCGGTCGAAGACCGGAAGTGCGGGGGCGCAACCGAACGAACTGAGCCCTTTGCGCTCGCTCGCTCGCTCGCCCGCCAGCCCAGCCAGCCAGGTTCTGCCCTGCGCGTGCGTAGAGCGTCGCCGGTCCCTCTTCCCAGAACGCACCGCGCGAGTGAGGCGGAAGCGCCGGGCGAGGATGGGGCCAAGATGGCGCCTGGCGCTGGGGGCGCTTTTGGGGTTCCTGGTCGCCCCTTCGCGGTAAGGGATTCCTCGGGGGGGGGGAAGCAGAGAGGGGGGCAGGGGGGGTCCCCTCTGCATCCTTTTAGGGGGAGGGAGTCTTTTTCTCGAGGGCCAACGCTCCCCAGCCAGCTGCTCCTGGGTTGGACTACAACTCCCATGTTGCTCAGGCGGGCCCTCGGGACCACGGGAGGGGATGATGAGAGGTGTAGTACAAGCCTTGAAAACCGCCCCGGGCAGATTTATTCCTGGAAGGCTTGTGACTTCAAACGGTCACTAAATAAATGGTGGTAAATTGAGGACTGCCTGTATTTATACTTATTTGCATTTTTTGCATGCTTCAGGACTGCTAAGGTGGCAGGAGGTGGGGGAGGGACAGGACAGGGGAGGCCTTTGTCTTTTTTAATATATATATATACATACATACATACATACATGCATATATATATCTATATATATCTATATATCTTTGAGTTTTGGTGCACCCTGTCGGCCCAAATGAAATGAAACTGAAATGGCTATTCCAGTTCTCCCTTAATTCTTTGTCAGCAATCCAAAATTTTGAAAAATACCTCTATATACATATATATATATATATTAGGAGATTGATTTACCTCCCATGCAGCGTAAATTTAATTAACAATTTAATTAACAAATCAATAAATACCAACGAATAAACCTCGGGGGTCTGGGAGGGGGCAGCTGACCTCCCGTGCCTCTTTGCCCGCTTGCAGGTCAGCCGAGGGAATAGCTGAGAACGATGCCAAAGGACCAGGTAAGGATTTCGCACTGGGGTATCAGGATGGGAGAGGAGGGGGGGGGCTCCCAAAAAAAGGAGG